AAACAAATAAAAAATAACTCTGAATGAAAATGGGTTTGTGTACGCATGGGAAACTGTAACTGACATGTATTTATATTAGCACAAATAGAAATATATATGCAAGCACATGCAGTCAATTTTTAAAATATAATATGAATATAAAATGTTCAGAATGCATTATAGTACACAATGTGAAATAAGATATATTTTTTTAAATGAAAATTGGAAAGAGAATGATGATACTGTAAGAAAGTATCCAGAGCTGGGTGTGGTGGCGCATGCCTGTAGTCCCAGCACTTTGGGAGGCTGAGGTGGGAGGATCACTTGAGCCTAGGAGTTGAAGAGTAGCCTGGGCAACACATCAAGACGCCGTCTCACAAAAAAGAATAAAGAAAGAAAGTATTGCATGGAAAAAGGACATAAGTATATTCTTTCAATTTTAGGAGATAAAACTTGAACCATTAAATTAAGGAATTAGATTTTAATTTCATTTTCATCCATCACATATTTATTATATTCCAGGTACAGTATACCCTATAAAAACAGGTAGCAGAATGAAACCCAAAGGAAAAGAGCTGTTTCAAATACAGCAATACTTATGTGAAAGGACTAGATAATTCTTAATTTTTTCAACTTCATTTTTCATTCAAAAAGTTAGCTGAGTATTTACTAAAAGTTAGGTGCTAAATGTCAAACATAAGTAAAATAAAGTGTGGAAGGCAATCAAGTACTATTGAACAACAGGATTAGTGCCATAACAGGAAAATTTTTTAATGGTTCTGGGAAGCCCTGTATCTGCCAAGGCAGATCAAGACAGCTTTGCAAGGAGCATTTGAGCTAGGCCTTGAAAAACAATGAGAGATTATGATTTTATAATCAGTAAAGCTTAGCTGTCATATTAAACAGATAGAATTTAATGCTATACAAAATTAATATATTTCACTCATTATTAATTATTCAGAAAATGCCTGCTTAGAAGAATTATCAATTTTACCTTTTAGCAATCTTATACTATTAACAATCCTAAAAACCCAAGCTATGTTATAATGACACCATTAAACAGATAAGGACTACATTTACTGACTAGCAACAATGGGGAGTTCGAATATAAAATAGTTTTAACACCTAGCAACCATATAAATTATCTAGTTATTCTGTTATACAACTCTTTTCAGGACATTCTAAAAGTAGATATAAATATTAGTTCTGGAACTAGAACAATAATAAAACAGTAACAACAA